ATACAGCCACAGACTCAGTTAAGGAAAGAAAGGCACGGTCAGTAGAGCTAATGTGATTGAAAGAGACATTTGAACTCTCCATAATGCAGGACAGATCCTTTCATCTGAAGAATCCTGGAGTTTTGTTTCAGGCTTACTAAGCAAATGAAACAGAAATTAACACCTTGCATAAACATCTTATTGTCTAGGAGGGTAGAGAATCTTTTAAATTTGGGGTTCATCTATGGGTTACAGGATTTTTACCCCCTCCTCATTATACAGGCTTTGAATTTTAGAACTGCAACTGAACTCCAGAACTACTCCCCTCAGTTTATAGATGAGAAAACAAAGGCTCAGAGTTGTTTACTAACTTACCCAAGGTCACACAGCTTGTCAGTGGGGAGACCGTACTTGAATACAAGGCTTCTTACTAGTTAAGTGGCAAGACTTCTGTCTTTTGAAATCATAGAAAGAGCTTCTTCTTTCCCTTGCTACCAATAATTAAATAAAAACAATGCTGTGGAAATAGGAACAGGATGGGATTGTGTTGTGAACGAAGGATAAATTATGAAGTAAATTAAAGCGTATTCTTTTTTGGGTAAATGAGACTGCTTTTCTCCACCAAGTGCCCTCAGGTATATATATGAAATTGATGTCTTCTAATCCTTCTACTCTTTCTCTTTTCTATGGCATTTTAAAGTAACAAGGGAACTGAGATTTAGTGGGTCCCAAACCCAGTTCCAGGAAGTCCTGATGTTCTTACAGAGAAGCCCCATCAGAGAGGAGGGGAGGGACTTCATGGCGGGGATACTGCACTGATTCTGGTCACCCTCCGTCCCCACACCCAAGAAGAGCTCCACTTTTAGCTGCTTTGCACATTGGAGTTCTGGATAGAGTTCTGATCAAGGAGAACACAAACACTTCTAAAAATAACTTTGAAAACTACACACTTAATTCAGTCCTCTCAATGAATTACAGTTTAGGAAGCGGAGACACAGGAAGGTCACAGGGAGTTGAGAGTCCACGTGCTGCATCCCCTCTTCTTGCTAATGTCAGCCCCCCTCCCCTCCTACTAATCTGGTCCCCTTACCCCAGACCCACCTTTGACATCACCTGACTCTCCAGTCCCGTATCCAGCCAGCCTAAGTTTCCTGTTTTTTGCCAAAAGGACTTTTACTTTCAGTTCAGCTAAACTGAGTGATCTGATTCATCTACTGTGGGACAGTTCACAGCCTGTTGCCTGGTGTCACCTGGTGTCTCTGGCCATCGCGAAGTAAACCATTGTAATCTGATTATTTTCAAGCCCTGGCCATCCAGTGTTTCTTTAAAACAACTCCAGCTGAATTTCCTTAGGAGGCAGACCAGATTTTTAAAGAAGATCTGTTACTCCTTCTTAATAACTATTTCCCAAATATCATATATTACGAAGGAACCAGTGTTTCGTCTTAAATTGGGTTCTATGGGAGGGTGAGTTCCTTCTGAAACTGGCCTCAGAATTGTAAGTGGACGGGTCCAGAATCCCTTTACCTGACCCCGGGCCAGGTTACCCCCAGGCAGCATCAGATGGTGCTTAGCTCACCAGCAAACAAGGGCATGTGAGAAAAACAAACAAAAAAAGAGACAGAAAGATATGAAGGTCAGAAATAATCTGACCTTTTATATGTCAAATTAAAACACCTAAGTAGTCATTATGGGAGAGAAATCAAACCTTTGTGACTTTAGAACTTAGCATTCCCTCGATTTCAAATTATGTCTAGAGGTGTCACTTGAATCCTTTCATCCGTGGGCCTCTTTATCTGACCTGACCTGGCCCATCCCTTAGGTTTCCTTCCCAGATGTAGGAGAAAACCTGCTCTGAACCTTCCAGCCCTGGGTTTGCCTACTTCTCTTTGGGAAGTGAATTTGCCCCAGGCGAAGGGTTTTCACAAAATAGAGAAAGAAGTCAGTCACTTGTCAACTTGCCAGACAGGCTCAATAGCTAAAAATTCAACAGGGTCAGCTTCCCTTCTGTATGTGGAGATTGGCCTAAAGGCGTTTGCCCTTGAGTTCAGCCCCCTTTTGGCTGGGCTGGACTCCTCTGAAACACGATAGAGAGCACTTATGCTGTTCCTTTTGGAACGCGACAGAGACCTCCCAAGCCCTGGATGGTGTAGCTCTTCAGAAGAAAGTCTAGCTCATTTCTATTGGGGGCATGTTTGTATTTCAGAAATGGAAGGGTCCCCAAACCTGGAAATGAAAGATCAGTTATTAAGAGGAAGTGTAGAAGGATTAAGTGTATTTTCCTTACAATTTTTACTGATGATAGATTTCAAGAATTCAGTTCTCTCCAAGAAAAATCGAGACAGAAATTCTAGTATTTATCTTGGTGGATATATGTCTGTGCAAATGATGTGTGATATTTTATGAGAGGGTGTGAAAGTGTGTACAGGACTAAAGTGTGAATTTCTAATACGTATACGTACCAGATATATGCTCGATATCTATGTTTGTGTGTGTTTCTGAGTTGTGAGTGCCATCCAAACAAGAGTGTGAGTTTATAAACGTTTGGATATTGAAAAGGTTAACTACACGCAAGCAAAGCAGATGTTTTAATGAGTTCTTAAATATTTTAATAAGTGCCTTGATTTTCTTCAGATAAAGAAAGAACAGGAAAAAAGAAAGGGGTTACTCCTTTATCCTTTGGCTAAGTGAGTTTTAACAGCCGAAAATGCAGGCCGTTTGCTATGGGATATATATAGTTTAATTTTTTTTTAAGTGGGGAAATGATGACTCCTGGTGTGGGTGAGAAATGAAACCTTCCTATGAGGAAGTTTCCTGTCTTTATTGCTGAGTATGTGTGCCTGGTCTAATGACTAAAAGCTTAAACTGGGGGGGGGGGGGGGCAGGGAACTGAGGGAGAGAAGTGCTTTCAAGAGTAATTGGAGGGAAGCAGGGAAGGGATGAAGAAGGAGGGAAGGAGTTTGGATGACTTGGTTACAAAACAGGAGCTCAGCTCAGATTCCATCTGATGAGTTCCAAGGTGAAAAATGTGGTTTGGGGTGAGTTGGTGGCAAGGCTGCAGTTTTCAGCAAAACAGCTGGCAGAGGAGCTGTACCCAGCAGAAAGTTTCCTCTCCCGTTAGCTTGGTCCGAGCAGCTGGTGATCCAAATCCCCACACCTCCACCTTTTCAGAGGGCCACCACTCTCAGCCCTATTTCACGCCCATGAACCAGGACCAACGAGCCACAGTTTGACTTGCTGGAAGTCGTTGGGTGCCCAGCATGGTGGAGTGGTGTGGACACCTGGAAAGACTGCGGGACTAGCCGCAGAGGAACGGGCAGCACCCGGCTTAACTGCTGGCCTCATCTCTGTCTGGGCGGGAAGGCTGGGCCCATTGTCCTCCTGGACTGGGGAGGGTGCGGGGTCATTAGTTAGAGGATGATGTGGTCTCTGCAAACCAGAGGAAATGGCCTGCTTTTGTTTTCCACCCAGTAGGAAATGGAACCTGAATCCATTAGATTCTGGGCAGCTCAATGCGGCACAGTTTGAGCTCTTAGAGGCGTGATGCCTAAAAGGCTACTTGTGTGGATTTGTGTGTCCCAACCATCACTGCACAGTGTGCCCATCTTTTATGCATTTAAAGTCTGTCAGGCTGGTAATCTAAAGCAGAGGTCTGGACGATAGTAATGCCAACAGACACGGGGAATAGGAGAGTGCACCAGTAGAGTTAAAAAATGCATGACCCTTTCCCTCAAAGAGTGAGCACAGGAGAAAGCCCCGTCCTGTAGGGTAGCTGCTGAGCCAGAATGCATAATTCACGGACCCCGTGCTGCTCCATGCAGATGGCGATATTAAATCGTGATTGATGCTAAGAGGGGCACACATCTTAGGAAGTTCTCCTAGAGGCTTCTGAATATTTCCAGGTCTCTTGTGCCTTCCCATCTTCTGTTCTACCGTGGTATTGAGCCAAACCCCTCCATTTCCCAGGAACCCCTCCTGAGGATGACAGAGCTTCACTCCCAAATATGAGATGCTTCAAATGTCATCACCCACCTCTTCTGCCTTTGAAGATCGCCCCCTTCCCTCCTGGCCCACATGAAGCTGTTTACCTCCAGCTGGGCACTGCTGAGGGGGAGGGGAGCAGCTACTAACCTGCAGCCTCCTTTCCAAGGCTGGTCACCACTGGACAAAGCAGCAGCACACTCTGGTGGTGGTGACCAGGCAGGAGGGACAGCGGCAAAAAACTTGGAGAAAACACAGGCGTCCGTTCAGCACAAAGCACTTTTGTCAAAACTCTGAGGTCACAGCCAATGGATTCTCTAATGCAGATTTTTCCACTCAGTATATAATGAAATAATAAATCAAATTTGTGGTGTATTTGGAATTAAGTGTTTGGGGGGTTTTGCTTTTTCTTTCTTAAAAAAATAAAAATAGCTGAAATCACCCTCCAGGGTCTGTTCTGGCCCAAAACTGAAAATGCTTCCTCCGCATCACATATAATTGTAACCAGGCTCACTTGTGGGTCGGCACCACAAAACCACTATTGTCAGTTCCCGGAGTCTTTACTTCTGGCTGCCTGGGCTGGGCTGGGGAACACCAAATAACGTGAAGGATTTATGAGATAAAGATAGAGATGCGAGGTTTGAACGAGGAAGAGAAGATAGGCCAAGCAGGGGAGACAGGAACAGGCAGGGAGGCATGTTAAGTTTTCAGCTTTGTTGTTTTTTTAAAATCTCAGACCATGTAATTGGGAATATTTATGAGCATTTTCTGGAATATTTTCGTTTGGCGAGCGTGTGTGTGTGTGTGTGTGTGTGTGTGTGTGTGTGCGCGTGTGTGGTTGGGTGAGTAGGGGGTAGGATGAGCTGAAATAATCTCTTCCACTGAATGAGTAAGTAGGTTAGTCTTCTGGACTGTCATAAAAGGTCTGTAAAACTGTTTTAATCAGCCACTGGTAGAGAGGAGAAACAAGGAAAGGAAAAAACAAAAAAACAGACTGTAACATATTTGAAGTTCTTTGCTTCGTGTGCCTTCTCTTCCAGACCAACCCTGTGGAGGTCGTTTGAATTCCAAAGACGCTGGCTATATCACCTCCCCGGGGTACCCCCAGGATTATCCATCCCACCAGAACTGTGAGTGGATTGTTTATGCCCCCGAACCCAACCAGAAGATTGTCCTCAACTTCAACCCTCACTTCGAAATCGAGAAGCACGACTGCAAGTAAGCACCATCCTGTGCCATGTACATCCACGAGACACACCCCCCACCTGCTCCCCAGGCTTCTGCCATACCTGCCGCCTCGTGGCAG